TAGTCGTGTGTTTATTAGTCACGTTGAATTAATGAAAGCAGTTAAATCTTCTATTTATTCAGCAACCGCTATAGGCATTTCCTGGGTTTCTTCTGCGAGGCGTATTTGGAGTTTCCGTGCGAGAGCGCCCTCTGGCCTTCGGATGGAGATTTAATCACCTAATCGCGATTTATCGCCTTTGCGATTTAATTGATTAATTGTGCAGCCCTAGTTTATTAAAAACATTTTATTTCCAAATTTTTCTCGAAATTTAACGAGTTTAATCTCGCGTTATAATGAATTTAATCTTGAGATGGTTTTATTTTTTTATTATTGCTTGGCCCTAATCCTCTTCAGTGTACACAAACAAACAAAGCAAACAAATAAATCAATTGGACAGTATGGATCAGGGTTATTAGTATATTCTATATATTAATTAGTATATTTAATTATTAGTTATTAGTATATTAGTATATTAATATAAAAAAATACTTAAAATAAAAATGTACCGAAATAAAATATATAAACAGGCCAACAGCTGACAAGCTGACAAGGCCATCAAGTCTAACTAAAACTAAATAAACTATATAAAAACTAATAAAAATGACAAAAACACCCAACACAACCTAAATTCAAATTGAAACAGAAAATATAAAAATCAAATCTTATTCAAAATAGTAACACAGTATATGAATAATACTAAAATAGCACTAGTATAAACACAAAACAACTAATTTTAATGATAAAATATTCTATATTTTTGTTATAAACAGTGTTTGGTTCATAACATTCCTTTGGGATATTATGGGAATTTCCACCCTTTTTTATTTTGGTATTAAGAGAGTTTTTGTGTCTCCATTGGAATTTCCTCCTCCTCTTTTTATTTGCTCTTGACTTTGAAACATAAACGAACACAACATTTGAACTGTATATCAAGTTTATGATCTTTCTCTGACAAAAGAAAACCGTTAAAGGTGTTTATTCGATCAAATCAAAGATTGCGCATGTAAACGCAGCCATTATCCCCAAACCATTATAATCTACATAAGTTTAAAGATAAAAAGCAGGAAAACAGATATTGTTTGTTTGGTTATAGTTCAACAAGAATACTCATATACACTTATGCTAAAAGTAACAGCAGACCCTTACTCAAATAAACTCTGGGTCTCTTGAACTCTATCTGTAGAATATTAGAGAGAAGAGAATAAATCACACTGACACAAATAAACACGTATGCTTATACTTTCCAACTAGTTTAAACATTCTGCATGTATTTGTTTGTAGCAGCCCAGTCTCACAAGGGAAACTTTGTCAGCGTACCACGGAAACATTGTCTGGTAGCTTTTTAACTGTGTATAGGAGAAATCCATTATGACTTTGGATGCTATGTTGCATTTGAGTAACGCAAGAATAAGGAATACTTAGAAATTCTCACATAAATAGAACCAGATCACATTAAAATCAACTGCTGGCAAAAGTTTTGGAGATTTCTCTGAAATAAGGTGCAAGCATGATTAAGACTTTCTGGAATTCTACAATATAAGGTAACAAAAGTTAACTAATTGGAGATGGTGGTTTCTCCATGAGAGTCTGTTAGTTTGTATATGTATGTCACACTGTTACACTGTCAGCCGTTTCAATTTTTTCATACGTATCATGCATATCTTCATGCACAATTTTTTGTCATTGCTTCATGACAAATTAGTTCAGGCTGGTCGGAAATCTTTACTTGATGTTCAGGTCGTGTTAACAAATGCATGAGAATTTATGAACTATTAACTATGTTCTCATCTAAGTTGCAAATTAATCACAATATCACAAAAAAATACATGAAATAAGCATTTCCATCTAATGTGTTCAAGAGAACAAAATAATAGTTTCCAGAGAAACTGTATATTTCTTTAAATAATATACTCTTAGAAAAGTCTAAATAGGGCCCAATGTCCAATGTTTATATGAAGGAATTTTCCTTGTTTATTTTTGACAGGGGTTTACATCAACACATTTTAATGCTAACTTAGTATAGTGCATGAAAATAAATGGTTGGAAACACCAAGATGTGAATAAATATTCCAAAATAAAATAAAAAATATATATAAAAATAGAATCGCTTTAATTTTCATTTCTATTTTGCATTTTCTCTGAAAATCTTTTCTTGACCACATTAAACGGAAACACTGCTTTATTTATAAATTGATTTTTTATTTTATTTATTTTTTGTGATACATTTCTATGGATTGTTTTTCTTACAGTGTAGTTACATTGAAAAATAATCTTTTTATTTATAATTTTATTTTGAAATGGAAATAATAAATCTAGGGTTGTCACTGAGGATAACTACAAAACCTCGAAAGTAATACGTTCAAAGGCATTACAATTATAAGAATTTGAGTGCAGAACATGTTATATTGTCAAGAAAATAATGAAATATTGCAAATAAAATCTTAACGCATGATTTTTTTCGCATTATTACATGCAAATTGGTTATGTTGTATGTCTGAACCTTCACTCTGCATCCAAACCATGTTAAAAAAAAACATGAGAAATTCCTGAATCATTAGACTTGATGATTAATAAAAATAAATATGAATGAATAAGAAATAAAAACCAGTTTGTGAATAAAGAAGTGTCAAGAAAAAACAGATGCAAAATAGAAATGAAAATGAAAGGGATTATTTTTTTCTGAATTTTGCAATATTTATTTGCATCTTGGTGTTTCCATCCATTAATTTACAGTATGCCAAAATTTGCATGCAAATGTGTTCATGAAAACTCTGCTATTAGTGAGTTTTAAATTGAGGGTGTAAATGTGCTACTCAACTGCACTGACAGCACAGCACGGAACAGTTTTAATGACGCAGTGCAGACTCACCATGGCACTGGACCTCAGGATTCCCCCAGAACAGTTCCCTGCACTCCTCACACGTCCTGCCTCCAAACCCAGGCTTACAGGAACACTGACCGGTCAGCTGAGACGAGCATAAACACACGCAAAAAAGTGTTTCGTTTGTGATTCAGTTGATATATGATTTAAATTAAGATGTGTGTGTGTTCATACCAGATCACAGGAGGATGTGTAAGAATGTTCGGGGTGGCACTGGCAAGGTTGGCATCCTTTGCCACTGTTGATGTTCCATGTGTTGGGGGCACAGCGGTCACAGTGCTGACCCACCACGCCGGGTAGACATGGGCACTGGCCGCTAACCCTGTCACACTCACACAAGCCGTCAACACATCTTTGCTTGGAACTTCCCACGAGATGGCACATGCATCCTGACGACAAAACGAAACAAAAAAGGCCTTACAATAGCTAAAAGATGATTTGAAGGGTAAAACTATGTTGCTCAGAGGTTGCTCTTTCATAGCTCACTCAAAAATAAAGATTCTGCCAATGTTTCTTTGGTGGACCACAAACAAAGATATTTTGAAAAGTCAGTTGTTCTTTTGGACCCCGTTGACTTTCATTGCATGGACAAAGACAGCTGAAACATTCTTCAAAATATATACAAAGTTCTATCATGAAACTCTAGACATCATAATTCACATGTCACAGCTGATTGGTTCTCTCCTGTATCGGTAGCCAATGAGCTCGCTGCTCAACATTCAAATACTTGGCTAGTGTTTGTTATAGCAGTAGCAGCGCACTTCAAAAACCCTTCACCTTCCCCAGCTCCACCTGTATAGATCTTCTACGGGGTGATTCATGTATGCTATGTTATATGTGCATCAGCAATATTTCTTAAATGCTCTCTCTCAGATATATTCCGCCAAGACCAAATACATTATGTATATTACCATGCAAATCACTCCGAGAGTTGTCATGACAGAACTTCTTTTCTCTATCATAGGACATCTAACATAGAACAACTACCATACACCACACCCTAAAAGAGCACTGCAAATGGATGGATTTTTAAACAAAAACTATATGTGCATCAGCAATATTTCTTACATGCTCTCTCTCAGATATATTCCGCCAAGAACAAATACATTGTCATGTATATTACCATGCAAATCACTCCGAGAGTTGTCATGACAGAACTTCTTTTCTCTATCATAGGACATCTAACATAGAACAACTACCATACACCACACCCTAAAAGAGCACTGCAAATGGATGGATTTTTAAACAAAAACACACACTTGTTTAGACTGTATACTCACTCCTGCAGTTCTGAGTATGGGCATCTCCATAATAACCACGACTGCAGTACTGGCACGCATTGCCATCGGTGTGAAACAGGCATTTGAGACAGGCACCAGTGCGGGCGTCACATGATTCAGGGTCCTGCATGTTAATATTTCTGTTACACTGACACGGATGGCACCGCCCTACTGGGACCTGAGGGTTACCATAGTAACCAGAGGCACATTCCTCACACTTTGGTCCTATAGGATGGAACAGGAGTGAGATTTGTTTTATGTGAGTTTTAAATAATAGCTTGTTCTGTTCATTTCTCAGACTGCTGTATTCACCTTTGTAGCCTGAGCTGCAGACACACACCATTTGGAGAGAGTTGGGATTTTGGTAACAGCTTTCAGCGAACTGCATTCCACTTCCAGGTCCGTCAGGACACATACAAGGGCGACACGGCTCACTGGAGCCCAGCAGCGTGTTACGGTGATAACCACTTTCACACCTGGAACAGAGGGTTTCGAGAAACACAATGATCTTTATTAAATATTCAATGTAGCTTAAACAGTAGAGTATCACACTAGTAACCCCAATGTCATAAAATGCTTTTAAAAAATATAAAAATTATACATACTGGTATAAACACACACATACACATCACACAAAACATTCATCTTTAAAATAAAAGTCACCTTTCATGAACTAATAATGGAAATAATTTTAATTGAAATAAACTTTCAATATAAACAATTATGACTAACCTATACTTAAAACCAATACAACAAAAATTTTAATATTTACCACTTTAAATGCACAACCAGGATATATCTTAAACAATTGGCTTCTCAAAAGAGCTTACTGAGTCCAGAGCTGCACTATGTGGCCTATTGAGCCCAGACACTGAGCTGCGCCACATGGCCTATGGGGAGTCTATGCAATTATGGTCAACTCTACAGCAAAAATACAGCAAACAATGAGCCTGCACCTTGTTTACTGCTTGTCTAACTGTTCAAATGTTACATCTGCTGTCTTAATGTTACATCTGCTGTCTTAATAAAAGTATCTCTCCATCACTTTTGTTTTGCTCAGACAAGGAGACTAAACGATTTTTAAAACTGCACAAAGTGCATGAATATTTAATGACGTTAGGACTAAGGTTTATGATTGAGTGTCCCTTGCTAAACAATCCACTATAACATTTTCACATGATATGCTTTATTTTTGGTACCACAATTCAGGGTCAAAGCCACAAAAGTGGTGCTAAGTCACCACTTTTTTCATAATAAAAGGTTAAAAACTTGTCCTTACCTAGGGTTTAAAAAAAAGAAGTTCACCCACTGTTAAAGGGATAGTTCACCCAAAAATGAAAATTACCCTATTGATTTATTCACCCTCAAGTTATCCTAGGTATATATGACTTTTTTTTTTCTTACAGACAAATACAATAAGAGTTATATTTTAAAAAAGCTGGCTCTTCCAAGCTTTATAATGGCAGTGAATGGGGGGTCGAGATTTTAAAGCCCAAAAAAGTGCATCCATCCATCATTAAAAGTGCTCCATACAGCTCCACAAGGTCTTCTGAAGTGAAGTGATGTGTTTGTGTAAGAAAATTATCCATATTTAAACCTATATCTTCCTCTAGCTTCCACTCTAGTAATCTCTAGCTTCCATTGACTGTCTTACGTGCCTTTTCCCAAAAA